GCGAGGATCGACGCCGAACATGTTACACTGTACGTAAAGTGAAAGATCATCCAAGATGAAGTTTTTTACAGTTGATTGCTCGGGGTCGAAAGGCAGGTGCTAAGCCGAAATACGTCTAGAACTATATAAGGACCATAACAGACCTCATTAAAGGTTTAAAATATGTTACCACACACTTCAGACATTTGTTGATCCGTCTCTCACAGTGTCCTTTTTAACTCTGCGGATCCTGAGATTCCAATACTTCTAGCATTCTTCGTTTTCGTCTTCTTCTTGAACGTCGAGAATACTGGTTAAAACGAGTCTCCATTGCAATCTCGAGGATAGCCTGGCTGTGGCGTTTGCACAAGGTGTTGTTCTTGACTACCGCAGAGGGTTGAGAAGTGGAACTAAAGTCCACGGGCGACCGCGACGAGCATCACAACCATTCGGCTACGGCGCCCCTAAAACAATCCATCAGGTTTTAGTTATTTCAAGAGAGATCTTAAAAACAGTCAATGAGGGAGGTATTTTCGTAACCTGCAAGCAAAACGTGACAAGCAGATTTTTTTCAAACACTGCCATTTGATCGACTTTTTTTAGTTTATTTACTTATTTTTTGTTTGTTTTTTTTTTTCACTCATACGGAGGAAAGGAATCAAAAAGCACCAAGATAATCACTGAATCATTCAGAGAGAACTAGAATTTTTTCTGAGAAATACAAACCCTCGAAATTTTTCCTACCGAAGAGGCGTCATAGAAATGCTTATGCCTAAGCACTATGTGAACCTTAAACCACTCAAATCAAGGAAAGGGCGATAATTACGAAAGATCTAAAAGAATACATTTGAGAAATTGAGTGGTGAGCAAAAAATGCAACCTCAGCTGGGGTTGAACTCGGCGTTTCATCCATACCGAGGGCGCCTGCTCACCACTAACACCACCGAGGCCAACGCTCATCACTCATTTTCAATTTCATAGAACGATATTGCCTACCCGATCACAACTGTTGATCGTTTGTGGCTGATAGCTATAATAGAGGGAATTCTGAAGAATGGTGGTGAGCGGTGGAGCAGTGGCTTCTGTGGTGTAGTGGTAGCACCCGTCTCCGTGGTGGATGAAACGCGGGTTCCAATTCCCGCCTGAGGTCGAATTTTTGCTATATTCTCTTGCATTCTCTTGCATATCCAGAACATCATAAAATGCGAAAAAGCAGTGAAAGCATGAGAAATCTTGGAGATACAAAGGGTTGAATAGCACGCTTAGGTTTAAGAAAACTGATGGGGCCACCACTCTCAACCAGCGCCTGGAAAGCAATGGAGTAACGATTCCCGTGGTGGGCGTAGTTGACACGATTGCGGACGAGTTTTCTGCTCCTTCTGTTTCTCGGAAGGCACAATATATGTTACGCTTCATTTTACACTGCTTGATTTAACCTCACGGGTCATATGGTTTATTGATATAACGTCGAATTATACCTTCAATTAATTTATTACGTTAAGAGCGAGCATGGCGCAGCGGCTATGGGTGCCTTGCGTCGCGCACAAGGTCGATGGTTCGATCCCGCTGTTGTTTGTTTCCTTGTCATATTTATTTATTTATGTTTTACATGTTGTGTTCAAGATCAATATGTCAGCTTGATCTTCTGAAATCGAACAACCCGGGAACATCTTAAATGTTTGGCTCGTTGGTTTTCTAAAGTTTTCTCTCACCTGCATAGACCATCCTCCCAGATAGTTTGTCGCCTTATCGTGGCTGGGAGATGTCCTGGGTGTCGGACCCCCGAAGTACAGCGGGGTTCAGTCCCTAATCAGGGCCTCCCAAGCCGAGAAAGGGAGTGCGACATTTTCGCCTGGAGAGCCCAGCTAAGAGCAACTCGTACTAGGAATGACCATCGTTTTGGTAGCTACTAGTCGCAAGGTGGTAATCTCCCTGTGATCCAGAGAGGCCGGTCACTGCTCTGATGTGGTCAAGACCTGAAGAAGACCGGCTACACTCACCTGGGGTCCTCCAGAGAACAAAAGAGCTAAACCAGCGGAATTTCTCCTCTGGCAAAGCTCGATTTTCCTGAAGATGGGCCCCGTCCGAATATACAAGTAAGTTCAACCACCTGGTTATCGATTATGCTGGCTTCAATCGATAGAGCACCATGATTGTCGTGTCGTTGGTTCGATTGTTGTCTGAAGCTTTCCTAGCCACTCAGACACCCTTGGCAAGTAATGCGCTGAGTGTCGAACGTGGTCTTATCTTTCCTGCCACGGCACTTTCAGAAGGTTTTCTCGCCTAAAGAGTTACAGTACTGAATTCTCCGAGAAATGTTCTGTCGAGCGACAAGTGAAAGTCTGAGGAAAAATTAGAAATGGGCTCCGATACCAGAAGAGAACTGTTTTGAACCCACTCCTCAAGCTTAAAGGACAAAGATCTCGGCGAGGATCGATCCCCGAGGAATGCGCCATGCATTCGTCTTCAATTTTCAACTTCGTTTGAGGTGATTTAGTGCATGTCTGGCCTTTACAATGACTCGCGGTGGCTTCCCGCTGAACCGAGTCAGTGCTGCTTATCCTCCCAGGCAAGTCTGAGACCTGCCTGGTACCAATCCACCGACCCCGGAGGGATGAATGGCTTGGTGAGCCATGAGCGCGAGATCGAACCACTGACCTCGTGTGCGACGCAGAGCACCTCTAACCACTGGCTTTACATGCGATCGTCTTGAAGTTGATAAGAACCTAAAGCGAATTCGTTGGATAGATTTGTTGTTCACTTACTGCTTACTGTTTATGAATGTATACCCAGTCTTATAGAGTGATGTGCAGAACTTTAGCGCCAGGCGGGACTAGAACCCGCACCTCACTCTTTCCGGGAGTGCGTGCTCTGTCCGTTACACTACTGACGCCCCTTTTTTCCCCAAACAGTTTCATTTGTTTATGAATGAATTTCTTAAAGACTAGCTCTTATTCAAGGCTTTCGAGAGTTGTTTATCGTTTACTTATTCCTTTGTTTACTTGTTTCTCACTTATTTATCTTGTCAATCATCTTATTATCTCCTTGGTTTTCTTATTCAGCAAGTACGGAGGTTGTTGATTTGAAGATTTATTCGGTACAGACGAACAGTGCGATGAAAGTGATCGTGATGGCTGACGTTTCGGCTTTCGCCCTATTCAAATCCTGAAAGAGCTAAATTGATGGTGCAAAACACTCAGACAAGCACACTCATAACCAGAGCAGAACAGCTTACGTACCTTTTTGTTTTATGGTCCGTGATGAACCGCAACGAGAAATGCCTCGTCATAACGCGTGACTTCGGGCCATATCTCAGATCGTTCTTCTAACCTGGGTCACGGAACCCCGTCCCTCACGCACAGCCCTCGTCCAGGCAGGACTGTAGGCGGTTGGTCCACATAACTCTCTAAGGTCCGTGATGAATCGCAAAGACGAATACCTCGTCATAACACGTGACTTCGGGCCATGTCTCAGATCGTTCTTCTAATCTGGGTCACGGAACCCCGTTCCTCGCGCACAGTCCTCGTCCAGGCAGGACTGTAGGCGGTTGGTCCACATCGCATCTTCTAGACCATAAAACAAAAAGGAAGTGCTTGTCTGAGTGTTTCGCATATCAATCTGACTCTTTCAGGATTTGAAGAGGGCGACAGGGCCGAAACGTCAGCCATCGCGATCAAGTTCATTGTACTGCTCGTCTGTACTGAATAAATCTTCAAATTAACCTTTTACTTGTTGAATAAGAAAAACAAGGAGATAATCAATGCCGAGGTTAACTGATAGTCGGTCATGGGAGTTGATTAATCTTATTGGTTTTGTTAGTGAATGAATTTATCTTCCTCAATCCTAGTGGTTTATTGACGGACAGCCAGTGCGCATAGCAGTTGCGTCTCTGTATGCATTTTATTATATTAACTCTTTTCATAATTTAGCATTAGGGCAGCATACGCCATATTTGAATTGCGCATTTTCTTGTGAACATTTTAGTATATAACTTGTTTATTCTTGCTTTAAAATTAAGCAGTTGTTTTGGGAACAAATCGCTCGCTACTCATGCACGAAGGGGGTACGTAGGGGAAAATGCTAGTAAAAGGGAGGGGGTGGGGGACAGGATTAAAGGAGCTTGGGACGATGATACTGTTGTAGAGAGGACAGCTAGGAAGTGGTTTACGAAGTTCAAAGCTGACAAAAGCACTCTAGAGGATCAGGATCGTCCACGGGAAGCTTCATCAATCTTGCGCGCCGCTTCACTAACATTCCCCCCCCCCCCCCCCCCCACTCGCCATTCGTGCATGAGTAGCAAACGGAAACGCTCCCACTACAGCTCCACCTTTAGGCAATTACAGGAAGATTGTATACCAAAATGTTTAGAAGAAAAGGCGTAATAGAACGACACCAAATTCATGTAAGGTCAGTTACTTCTGGTCCATGAATTTGGTGCTTATTGCTCTAGCGCCAAAACTTTTGGAACGACCTGATATATTGTTTGAAAGCTGTATACTCTTATTACGGTATATTGCAGTTTAGGATATGTCTTCTGCAAATACTGCAGAGGAGATAATTAGTGACTCGACAGTAAAGCAGGTTGCGATGAAGTATTTTCTGTCCTGCACGGCAGCGTTGGTGGCCGAATCGGTCACGTATCCTCTCGACATCACTAAAACACGACTTCAGATCGCACGGAATAATCACAGAAGGCAAGGCAAGTTCAGTACATTTAAATTTACTAGTCATGATTAGATTGTTTTCTGTTATCCGGAAGCAAGTAAAGAAATGACTCCTTCCACTGGAGAAAGGGTTTCGATTGCACTTTTGGTAATTATTTGAAAGTTGAAATCTCTGGCCGCTGCTACGTGGCCATTTTTTTTTTTGACAATTCCTTTTCAATATAATTCCAAAAAAAGAATGCTTTAAGCTTAAACGAGGTTGATACGCCAGGGTCATACACCGGTGTTTCGGAGGTTCGTCCTCCTCGTCAGTGACCCCCCGCCCCACATTCAGCCCTGCATTGAAGCAAGGATGGAGGGCGTATGTGGTGATGGCACAGTGTACAATGACACTGGTCCATCACCACCCCTCAGTCGATGGATTTTTGCTGTTAGATCAAAACTAATTCGAAAGATCGACTGTTTCTGGAACTCCGAAAAAAACATTCAACATCATTCCAAGCATTCTTTTTTTGGAATTATATTGAATGTTGTTTTTTTTTCGGGGTTCCATATACAGTCGATCTTTCGAATTCCTTTTCAAATAAACCCAATGATGTAGAGTGGTGTGCAAAAACGTTTGCGTCAGCCGGGATTTGAACCCAGATCTTACTCTTTCTGGGAGCATGTGCTAAACCGCTGCACCACCGACGCTCGCTTTGCACTACACTCTTTTCACGCTACAACGCGTTATTTGTCAACAGCCAACCGTCTACGGTGTGACGGGGCAGTCATTATCGACATTAAACCCACTTTTGTTGACAGATATTGAGTTCAATAATCAATCGAAATTCATCTTATTTGATCGCCGATTGCGGTGTTATGATGTTTTCAAATAAACCCAATGAAAGAGTGGAGTGCAAAGCGAGCGTCGATGGTGCAAACGGTTAGCACATGCTTCCGGAAAGAGTAAGATCTGGGTTCAAATCCCGGCTGACGCAAACGTTTTTACACACCACTCTACATCATTGGGTTTATTTGAAAACATCATAAAACCGTAATCGGCGGTCAGATATTATGAATTACTAATCCTTTTCATAAAGCTGTAGCACAAAGGAGACATTTGTGTTCGACACACCCACACATAAATCTCTCGCAGGACATAGTCGTTCCCTGGAATTATTAGTAGCAGTTCGATAGCGTAGGTTTCGACGATTCCAACGCTGTGCTTATTTTCTGTAAAGCCCGTTTCCCTGCAATGTTGAAGGGAACTAAGACTATTCCATACACACGGCGCCTTTTTTGTTAGCTCTCTGTGCTGGTGGGGACGGTTTGCCGTGGATTCCAAAATAGCAATGGATCATCGCGTTGGCGTGGCTCGCATGTAGAGTGCAAATTTCGTTATATAATTAAGAGTTTTCATTTCCGCCTCGAAAAAACTTCGATTAAATTGTAAGATTTTCGTGTTACCACCGAAATCAAGCAAAAGCGCTCGGCCTATGTGAAA